CATATATCAAGTACAAAAGCGACCGACGAGGATGTGACTCCTTCAAGGATCGTAAAGACATGACGGATGTGGAGTTTCTAGGAGCTCATAACTCAATCATAATCTCATTCTACAATATACATCGCCTCGCACAGTTCCTACCTACCCCGCTTCCTCCAGCGCCGAGCAGTTGCTACATTTGGTAGCACTTCTTGGTTAAAAAAAGTCTCAGGCTGCTCCGCTGCCTCCAGCGCCCAGCAGTTGCTACAGGAAATGCCGCAATTCCGAGCCCAAAGAGGTCGCGCCATCCCCGCGCCCGCATAGCGCATGGGGGCAGATGGGAGCGGGGTTCTGAGAAGAGGCAAGTACCATGGGCTGTGGAGGGGTGGGTTGCGGAAACAGAGCGATACGTTGCGCGCTCGTCTTGTTGACTTGGTTGGGTTTTTATGTGACACCTCCACTGCAAATTGCCGCATCATAATGATTGATGCTCTTGCTACCGCTGCTCGAGGTCGGAAGATAGTCGTGGATTTAAGGTCACGTTGTACAAGTCGCACGATTCCATGTGTCGATCTCGAACAAGCGATCCATCATCGATGTGCTCGATCGACATCAAGAAGTGGCGTGTACACGCGATTGACGTCAAGGACGGATTGCGATAGCTGTCCAAGGGCATGTTATCGACAGCTCTCGACCGCGGTGGCAGGTGCCTTTGATAGATTAGATGCGCTCGCCACAAGGACGACTCCTCGGACATGGACGTCTCGCGTTTTCGATCGCCGTCATTCGACTGTGCTTGAAATGTTACATGGGATCTTCGCCATGTCGAAACTGAACGCTGATGCACTACACTCTGCTCACAAAAGGCTTGGTTCTCCTAGGAAAAACCGAATGACGCGTCGATATGAGGGAATGCAGTAGGGAGGAAAGGAATTGACGGAAGGGCACCACCAGGAGTGGATTTTGGGGCGACGGCACCACGTCCCCCTGGATATGTATGGGATCTTGGTCTCACTTGATGAACTGTGCAAGTTGATGTGGCTCATCTGACCCCGGAGTATTGTTGAAAACGAAATGGACAACTCGAAGGCGGCCGGTTCTCAATCTCGAAAACGTGCAAGTCGTCCTCAACGGCCATGAACTCGCGCCCCTCGCCATCGAAAACGAGTGACCAATGTGTAGGACATGCATGCCACCCCGTCATAACCTTGACCATGTCCATCCATTTGCTTATGAGCTATTTCAATGATGATTTTCATCTGTCCCCTATGGAAGCGACACTGTCTACAATGGATCTAATACACCGTGGAGTTCGACTAGCTTTTGCATCTGACCGAGGAGCAATCAGCTGTAGGAGGACCCATCCGATCTTGTCCCCGACGCGCAGAGCCTAAGGCAACTTCTCATAGCTAAACAGTCTCGGAACCCCTGTCACAATGGTGAAATGAATCCACGACAAACGTCGGTCAGATTCGGACAGCAGGGCGCTTTCGGTCAGCCTTTTCGTGCGACAAAGTGCTCGAGCCATTCCAAGTAGTAACTGCAGGGACTCGGGCCATTCCGACCTCGGTGGCATCGGTCAACCTGTGTGCCCCGAGCACCGATACGCACTGTCGGACTCGGAACTTCACCACGTTGCCACAACGCCCAGTGTACCTTCGTCACTGCAAGCTGGGGGCGCAGACAGAATTTTGACATCCCATGCGCGCTTGCACAACTATACAGATTGACTTGGGCATAGTGCGGAGTGGTACACATGGGAAAATTGACGAGCAGCATGCCCAACGGTCCGCGAAAAACCAGTGGTGTTTTTGCATCGGAGAACAGGCTCGCCATGTTCATGCCAACCATCGTCCCATGGGAAGAAAAGACGTGTGCTGGTATACTTCGCTTGATTCGGGTTGCTTTGCCACAACGAGTGCAGCGAAGCATAATCTAGTACTGATTCTACTAGGACTGCAGTACGTGCAATTTGGTCATTGGTCGTGGGCAGTCAAAATCTTGCGATTTCGACCAATTACAGCGCTGTTCTTTCATAGCAGTAAGTAAACAGAATATATTCCAGCATAGTCCAAATGCATATGAAGAATACAGAATTCAAGATAAATTTCGAATACTACGAGGGGAAAATGCATTTGTGTCGTACCCTGCAGTCATTTCCATAGGCTCAGCATATAATGCCTTGCTGGTGAAGGTTAAGAACTGCCCATTTCAGTTTTGTGGTCGCCAAGTAGTGGACTCAAGTCAGATTTGAATCAGTCGGGTGTCTGGTGGGGTGGACAA